AAACTCAGAACTTTAATTTTAAATATACAAAAACATATAATTGATGTATAGTGTCAGAAAGGCGTACGGAAGCAAGGAAGTCATAAATTCGTGACTCGTTCATGGCATCGGTAGCGTTCTTCTTCAAGGCCTGACCCAAAAAATAAAAAATAAAAACAAAATAAAATCTCTGAACAAGTTTTCACTTAAATTACACATGATATTTTTAATACAACAATCGGCAAACCACCAACCGTTTTAATATTGTCCAAGCTAATTGTTCCGTTTTTGGTCGGCTCGAGGTGTGCAAATTGCTCTCTTAAATAGAAGAGTTCGTCAACAGTTAGGGTTTTAGATAAAGCCTGCAAAAGTTTAAAAGCCCAACTAATTAAAAAATTCATATAAGATTAAGCAATATGCCCTTGGATCAAGAAAATATTTTGGGTGTTGGTTTCATGTGTCTGTTGTTATTTTCCGTGTTTTTTGTATTCTTGAGTCGAGCTCGTTTGAGTTCATTTTGGGCAGCATCATTTTGGCCATTTTCACATACTTTTTTTCAAATATTCAGACACACTCACTCATAGACGCACCCGTAAAGCAGCTTTCCGCAGAGGAGATGAACGCATGTAAGCTTTCATAAGTTTAAATATTAGTAAGTCCAACGGCACTTTCACGCCATTAACCTTTTTGATCCATGGATGACCTGAAATAGATAATCAAGACACTTTCAGAATCAGGAGAATCTTTTTTTTTTCTTTTTCTTTTTTTTTTTTTATTTTANGGTTTCGAAATTAAAAATACACCCTCAGATATTTTTATTTTTTTTTAACAAATCTTTAGGGGGTATTTGTAGCTTTTCAAACAATCTTTTTTTTAAGGCAAAAATGACTGTTGGTTTAACGTCATAGCAATTTTAGTCCCAAGATTTCAACTTTTCGCCTTTTGGTCATGTGATTTAATATTTTGCTGCAATTTCAAATTTAAAATCACAGGAATTAAATTGCTAATAAAAAATCTGGGAATTTGGAAATTTGTTGCTATTTCAATCCTTTAAAGACTGAAACTCAGCAAAATATTATATCACATGACCAAAAAGCGAAATGTTGGAACCTTGAGACTAAAATTGCTATGACGTTAAACCTGCAGGACAAAAAATGCAATTTAGCCTTCTTTTTATGAGGCAAAAAATGAAAAGAAGCTCACATAAGGCTTGAGGTGCAGTCATCCTTTTCCTTGGGTCCTTGTTCAAGAGCCGCTTAACAAAGTCCTTAGCCTCATATGAGAGTGTGGGCCAGGGCTGTTCCTCGTAAGTGGGCTCGGCTTTCACTACGGCCCGAAAAATACCGGACTCCGTTCGAGCCCAAAACGGGCGGCTGCCACACAGAAGGATATATGCTACCACACCTATACTCCAAACATCGGCCTCTGTACTGTATGCTCGATGTAAAACTTCGGGTGCCACATAATATGCACTGCCTACAATGTCGTTAAGCCTCTCGTCTGCAAAATAATTGTACCAAAATTTAAATGAATTTTAAAGTTTCCATATTCGGAAAACTCGAATTGATTAAACAAGGACTAACCTGGTTTCACAAAATCGGATAAACCAAAGTCTATGGCCTTCAAAAGCGAGTTTTCTTCCTTGGATGTGAATAGAAAATTCTGCAGAAGGACCATCGAAAATCCAAATAT